TATTATTATCGTTATTATTATCATTGTTATTATAGTTATTATTTTTCAATATTAGTAGTAGTAGTATCATTGTCATTACTATTACTATTATGATAATAATAATTATCCTTTTTACTATCACTATTATAATAATAATAATAATTATTATTATTATTACTATCATTTTTATCATTATTATTATTATCATTATCATTATTATTACTATTTCGTTATTACTATTATCATTATTATCATTATTTTCTTGTTGGTGTTGTCATTATTGTTGTTGCTATTGTTATTGTTATTATTATTATTTATATTGTTATTATCATTATCATTATTGCTACTATTATCGTTATTATCAATAGTTATTACTATTATCATCATGATTATTTTCATTCTTTAATACTATTATCATCTTTACTATTACTATTATTATCATTATCACCATTTTTATTATTACTTGTATGACCAATATTGTTATCATTATTACTGTTATCATTACCATCATTACTACGTTGTTATTACTGTTATTATTATATTATCATTATCATTATTATTATCATTACTGCTATAACAATTGTTATTGTTATTGTTATTTATCATTTTTTTTTTATATTATTGATATTATTATCATCATCATTATCATTATTACTGCTATCATTATCATTATCATCATCATTATTATCATCATCATTGTTATTATTACCACCACTACCATCATTAACCCCCCCCCCATATTAATGACCCCCTCTCCCATGTTCCCCCCCAGGACCCTCCCCCCAGGCTCTGACATCATCGCCTACCTCTTTCATCCCGAAGACCTGAATTCCACGGGTCTTTACGCCTCTTTAGCTCCTTACACGGGTCAGCATACCCTCCTAGGTGATCCCAGTGCCAGTGCCAGAAGGACGTTCGGTACGCAGGACTTGGCACCGTGGCACTCGGCTGAAGGTAAGGGTTATTTTTCGTTTGTTTGGTTTATGGTTATTTTTTTTTGGTTTGTGGGTTTGTTGATTTATTTCCATATGCATTGATTCACCTTTTATTTCTTTATTTGTCTATATTTAGTTTACGTCTTCGAGTTAAATTTTGCATTATTGGAGGAAAGAAGAAGATATAATAATTTCTTTGTCTTCCTCATCTCCATCGCAACAATCGCCATCACAATCATTATTCATTACGATTTTCTTATTATTCACCGTTATTGCTTTACCGTTTCTCCAGCTCCTCCTCCTGTAGAACTGAGCGGCGCCTCTCGACTCATGGTGGCCACATCCCTGCAGAGGCGCGCCGTCGAAGCTTTAATAGATGGTAAGTAGATATTAGCATTGCATATATTATATACACAATGGTTATCTATCTATATATGTAGCTATCTATCTGTCTATCTACATATATAGCTATCACTGTATGTATCCCTCTATCTATCTATCTATCTATCTATCTATCTATCTATATATATCACTCTATCTATCTGTCTGTCTATATATGTATCTATCCCTCTATCTATCTATTTATCTACATATATAGCTATTACTCTATCTGTCTGTCTATCTATATATGTATCTATCCCTCTCTCTATCTATATATCTTTATGTTTTATCTATCTATCTATCTAGCCATTTATCTGTACAATTATCAGTCTATCTATCTACTCATCTATCTGTATGTTTATTTGTTTATCTGTCTAGCTTTCTATATATGTGTGCGTGCTTGTATTTGTGGTTTGTGTGTGTGTGTCTAAGAGTACCAACCGCTTATACATTTAAATTGTCTCTAATTGCTCTTTGCTCCATGCAGTTTTGCACCATCGCTTCAGATTGCTGTGTGTGTGTGTGTGTGTGTGTGTGTGTGTGTGTGTGTGTGTGTGTGTGTGTGTGTTTGTGTATGTGCGTGTGTGCGCGCGCTTGTGTCTCTGTGCTCGTGTGAGTTTGCGCATGTATGTTTATGTGTGTGTGTGTTGTGTTAGTGCATACGTGCCCCCCCCCCGGTCTGAGAGCGACCCCGCATTTCGTGCTTGACCTTTCCAGACGAGCCGCTGGACCTCTCGCAGCTGCTGGTGGTCGGGCGCGCGCAGTCGGCCGACAGCGACGAGCGGCGGTCGGTGTCGTCCGAGTCGTCGCTCTCCTCCTGCGGCACCTCCGAGTCCTCGCAGGCGTCGGCGGGGGATCCTTCGTCAGGCAGGTCGGTGCGCAAGGGAACAGGGCTTTGGGGCGCCCGCGGGGAGGGTTGGGGACCTAGAGGAGGAAGAGGGAGTTTAGAAGGAGGAGGAGGAGGGAGTTTAGAAGGAGGAGGAGGAGGGAGTTTAGAAGGAGGAGGAAGAGGGAGTTTAGAAGGAGGAGGAAGAGAGAGTTTAGAAGGAGGAGGAGGAGGGAGTTTAGAAGGAGGAGGAGGAGGGAGTTTAGAAGGAGGAGGAGGTTTAGGGGGATAGTGTTAACGAAAGTAAGAAGGAATGATAATAATTAATAATAGTAATATTCTTATTCGTTGGATATTATTATTGTTAATCGTGTAACGTTGACTAACATTGTTATATTTTTTACTCTTATTGATAATTTGCTTTATTGTTATTAGTATTGCTTTTCTTCACTGTGGTTATTGTTATCTTGTTATTATCTTTGACTGTAATAATATACTTTCTGCTCTCACATTCACACATGTCATTACCACTTTACACCATAACAAAAATTAAATAGACATACAGATAAACAGACAAAAAAAAAACGAAAACGTAAATCAGCTTAATACACCAACACCTTTTCTCTCCCCCCCCCCTCCCGCCCAACTCGTAGACTGACCGACCCCTTCACGCTGCAAGAGACCTTCGGCAGGAGCTTCGACGTCGGCACTCCCTACGAAGTCCCTGTCCCTCGCCGACCCCGAGAGCGGTCCCTTCTGCCGTGCCACATCTGCGGGAAAATCTTCGACCGACCCAGCCTCCTCAAGCGACACATGCGGACTCACACAGGTGGGTGTGATTGCGGTGTTTATAACTCAAACCATAAGAAAAAGAAGAAGAAAAAAAGAAAGAAAGAAAAAGAATGAAAATTTAAAATAAAACCAAAATCTTACACCTTGCCTCCCCACAGCACCCACCTACCTACCCCCCTTTTTCACGTTAATATCTACCTCATTATCCCATTATCTTTACCCCCCCCCCACCCACCTACCCACCCACCCCCTTTTTCACGTTAATACCTACCTCATATATTCACCCATTATCTATCTTCTTCCCTTTTTCTCCCCAAACAGGTGAGAAACCCCACATATGCGAAGTGTGTGGCAAAGGTTTCTCCACAAGTTCCTCCCTCAACACCCACCGACGGATCCATAGCGGTGAGAAGCCCCATCAGTGCGGTACTTGCGGGAAAAGATTCACCGCGTCGTCCAACTTGTATTATCACAAGATGACTCATATTAAGGTTCGGGGGAACAGCTGGTTTCGTTATGATGATGGTGATGATGATGGTGATGATGATGATGGTGATGATTGATGATGATGGTGATGATTGATGATGATGATGATGTGATGATAAGGAGGAGTAGGAGGAGGAAGAGGAGGATGAATAGGTGGAGGAAGAAAAGGAGGAGGAGGAGGATTGTGATGGAGGAGGAGGAGGAGGACGAAGAGGACGAAGAGAAGGAGGAGGAGAAGGAGGATAGTAATAATAATAATGATGATGATAATAACAATGATAATGATAATGATGATAATAATAACAATGATTATGATAATGATGATAAGAATAACAAAGATTATGATAATGATAATAATAACGCTACTACTACTATTATGAGAGTGGACCACGACTACTACTGTTACTTCTGCTGATAATGATGATGATGGTAGTAATAATAATAATAATAATGATAATAATAATAATGATAGTAATAGTAATAGTAATAGTAATAGTAATAATAATAATAATAATAATAATAATAATAATAATAATAATAATAATAATAATAATAATAATGATAATTATAAAAAAAAAAATAATAATAACAATGACAATGATAATAATAATGATAATGGTACTACCACTACTACTACTAATAATAAATAATGATAATGATAATGATAATATAATAATGATACTAATAATGGTAATAAATATGATAAGAATAATCATTATCATCATTATCATAATGCTGACAGTAATCGTAATAATGAAAATAATATTATAGATGATGAGGACAATATGATAATATTGACAATAACCCTAACATGATAATAATAAGAATAATACTGATAACACTAATACTAATACTACGAAAAGTATTGCGACCAATGATTTCTTTTTTCTTTTGTTTATCATTATCACCTTGCTCATTTTCAGCAATATATATCCTGTTCACTGCCATTACTCTTCTTATCACCGTGATCATTAAAGAAAATCCGTGTAAGCTTAAGACCAACAACAAACATAAGTAAGACCCGCCCCCCGTTTTTCTTCATGCAGGACAAACCCCACAAATGCGGCGTATGTGGGCGGTCCTTCCCAACTCCAGGAGATCTACGGTGCCATACCTTCGTCCATACGGGGCAGTGGCCTCACCGGTGCCCTGTCTGCTCTAAGGGCTTCAGTAAGCTTACGAACTTGCGGAATCACCTGCTGCTTCATTCAGGTAAATGGGGTGTGGTTGTGAATGGTTGGTTCTGTGAATGGCTTTAGTTCTAATGAATTGATGTCTCGTATGGTTTAGTTTTTTTTTGTTGTTGCTGGGTGTTTCGGGTTTATTTGGTCTCCCGGTTCTAATGTTTGTTTATGGTGTTATTTATATTTTCAGGAGTAAAAACGGGTGACACTGGATCAACAAATAATGCAGCTCTGACTCATGCCATGCTGTAGCAATAGCACTACTGTTCTTGGTGGTATAGCATTTACCCTAGTACATAGAAGTTGCCATGTCATCCGGTGTGTTACAGGAAATTGGACGTGGAAAACATGAAAAAATCAACTTTCGAAGCTCTTCAGAACAAGAGACATGACATTATCCTTAAAAGGGCACAATAATGTAACAGTCTAACTAGTGAATCCTAGTCGAAGTTTTACAAAAATAAAAACAAAAACAAAAACAAAAAAATAAATAAGAAAGTAAAAAAAAAAACAAAAAACGAAAATTGAAAGAACGAGAAGGAGGAGAAGACAATAGGACAAGAGTTTTAGACAGCGGTGTCAGCAAGCACTCCAGCCTCAACAAACTCTTGAAGGTTAAGGTCTTTGGGAAGTGTTGCCAAATGTCCCTGAGACTATTAGGAGCAACACGTCCAGGTTAAAGCGTCTCATTCGGTTTATAATGAAAGCGAACTCACTGTGGTTTAAAAGAGGTTCGACATTCCTTAGGCCTAGTCTCAAATAGCTTGGATAAAAGGTGCACTAAGTCCTAACGATACTCTGTGTTTTTTTATACATAATTTAAGTCTTCCAGTGTGAGTGAAATACAAATTCAGGATCTCAAAAGACAATTCTCTCCTTTACTGTTCGTTATCACATATCATATAGTCTTATTTCCCCAGTGACTAGTGTTATGCAGTCAACACTACTATCATTGCAGTAATTGATGCAACGATTGTATAATAATGACAATGATACAGATTACAAAAGTTGTAGGTAATGATGGTGATAGTAATAAGGATTATCGTAATTATAATGATAATAACAGTAAAATAATATTGATAATAATAAACGTAACGATGATAACAGCATATTTTTTGTAACAGTGATAAAAATAATTATACTAATAGTGAGAACAATACCCATTATGATTACCATAAGAGTTGTGATAATGAAAGTTAATAATAATGTTGATAATACTGATATCAGTGATAAATATAATTATGATGATAAAGATAATAATAATCATAATAAAAATAATGATAATGAGTCTATCAGTCATAGTTATTGTTATCATCATCATAATTATTGTTATCTTTATTATTAACTTTACTATATTTATCAATAGTGTTATCATTATTATCCTCTTTATCATCATTATTTCTGTTGTCAATATTCATTTTTTACTTTCTTTCTTGTTCTTAGCTTTAATACTTTATTACTTTTATTATTATTATTATGTTTATTATTCTTATCATCACTGACATTAATATCATACTTATCATTATTATTTTTATTATTGCTATCATTATTATTATCGTATAATAATTATTATTATTCATATCACTATCTTTATTAAGATCTTTAATATCATTATTTTCATTATCATTACCATGATTTAGATTTTTAATCTAATAGTTTTGTTATAGTTATTATCAGTAATATAATAATCATCACTGATATTATTATCATTATTATTATTATCATTATTATTTTTATTATTTATTATCATTATTATTGTTATTATTTTTATTATTTATTATCATTATTATCATTTCCATTATCATTATCATTATTATTATTACCATTATCATTATTATTATCATTATTATTATTATCATTGTTATTATTATTATAATCATTATTATTATTATTATTATTATTGTTATTGTTATTATTATTATTATTATTACTATTATCCTTATCATTATTATTACCATTATTATTATTGTTATTATTATTATTATTATTATTATCATTATTATCATTATTACTATTATTATTATTATCATTATCATTATTATTATTATCATCATCATCATTAACATTTTAGTACTACCGGTAGTAGCAGTGTCATTATCGTCATAATCTTTATCATTTATCATCATTATCGTCATTGTTATCATTATTAGCATCACTATTATTGTTGCTGTTGTTTTTATTACTCTTGTCATTACTATTATTATAATTTTTCATTTCATTATTCCCATCATCATTATTGCCATCGTCATTACTGTAATTATTACCTCCGCCAAGGAGGTTATGTTTTTGACGGCGTTGGTTTGTTGGTTAGTTTGTTTGTTAGCAGCCTAGCTCAAAAAGTGCTGGCCGGATTTCATCGAATTTTTGGGGACAAGTCAGAAAGGGACTAACTTAGAACTGATTAACTTTTGGTGACATTCCGAATTACCGTCTGGTTATTATTAATATTATCATTAATTAATCAATAAAGTACACACATCTACGGTAAACGTGTACCACATTTCACTGACATTCCGAATTACCGTCTGGACGCAGCAGCGGTGTAAGTACATTATATACGCACCTTGGCGGAGGTCTGCACTCTCTGAGTGCTTTTCTAGTTAATATTATTATCATTCTTCTTATTATCATTATCATTTTTATTACTACTATTATTATTATGATTATTATTATTAATATTATCATCATAATCATCATCATTATCATTATTATTAGTAGTAGTAATAGTATTGGTAGTAATATTATTATCACTATTATTACTATCACTGTCATTATTACCATTATCATTATCGTCATTATTATTACCATTACTATTATCATTATTATTATTATCACTATTATTATTATTATTATTATTATTATTATTATTATTATTATTATTATTATTATTATTATTATTATTACTACTACTACTACT